ATTCTACATCCGTCAAAAATAATCGACAGAGTAATCACTAAACTCCAAACAGGACATACCAACCTAAATAACCACCTCAAAATAATAAGAAAACACGCAACAGGAACCTGCCCACATTGCAAACAAGAAACCCCAGAACACGCACTCATACACTGCACCCACTACCTAACATCTCGAACTACACTACAAACCACCCTAAATCTAAATAAGGCTCTTACTCTAGAAGCAATCCTAAACCCACAAAATAAAATAGAAAAATTCAAAGCCTTAGGCGTATACTTAATCAAAACAGGACTAATAAAACGCATTTAAAACCCCAATAAACTACCAAAACCAAACCACATAATCAAACTAACAAACTTCCATACTCAGCTCCCTTAGTTCGCCCCCCAAACCCTCTTGGCATTTTTTCCAAATCTCAAAAATTCCAAAATTCTATATAAGCAACCACTGAAATACACCTACTGGATTGCCAAACAACTTTTTCCCCTTTTCGGAAACACATTAAATGGCCTGGCCAGGCCCGTGTGCGAAATACGCTGCAGTCGGAAAGCGCACGTAAAATCTCCAATATAAGTAAGTGGAAACAACTAAAACGTTTCGTGTATGGCAGCCTGACTTTAGATGACAGCGGTCTGGGACAGAATGGGTCCATCTCAATTATGTTTCCTTCTTTTATGTTTGTGCATTCTGCCAATTAATGATAATATCACGCTCATACCCAAACCAATCTGACAGACATTACACAGGTTTCTCATCTCTTTTTGCCCATTTATTGGCTTATGCTACGACAGCAACCAGCATCACAATTACATAAATGTCAATTCCCTTAATGTGCTCATCATGTGAATTGTGTTTAAAGATCTGTTTCTGTTTCTCCACTCTGTGTGGATATTTCAAAGTTTACTGATACCAGATAAACAGTTTCTGAATCTTCCTGAAATATTTCGTCATGAACTCTAAATTTGCTTCTACGACACTGTTGAAAATGATTTAAACTTTTGCTTTTTGTCCAACATGAATTTAGATGAATTTGTGGTATTCTGTTAGTGTGTAAGTGTGCCCTGCCGCGTCCTGTAGTTCTACATCTAGTTGCCATCACTGCACATGGAAGTCTGTGGGATTCAATGTTCCTCTGTTCGCGTTCATGTGCATTACATATTTTCATAGTTGTCAAATTCCAGTAAAATAGTGTCAGAAAGAACACATACACGGATATCATTTCCTGCGTATATTAATAATGAGAACTGAATCACGTAGGAGTGTATCTACTAATGAGTCTTCAATGAAATTAGAAAGTTATATTCAGACACCACTCAATCTGTGCTTTATTGACATATGTTTCTTGGCTTGACTTGAGCAAATATGAAGCAACAACTGACAGCTGATGCCAAACACACTGATTTGAATAGCTTATCCTTTTCATACTGTACAAGGAGTTCGGAGAATACATTATATTTCTGTGATAAAAAGATTATGGAAATGATATGCCAAACAAATAAAAGTAATGATCTTCATATTGTCTGCATATTGTAAACCATGTTTACATTACCGTGCTCGTAACATCTATGTGATCATTTTTAGGCAAGCCTAGGATGAAGAGTGAATACCGTTTCAGTCTTCTTTTGGGTAAGCAAGTTTCTTAACATTCTAGTCTTGTTTCCTTACATTTCACAATGTATTCATTGTTATGTAATTACATGAGAGATTCACATTTCGTATTTCAGTCATCATTACCCCACTATTTGCCACTGAATGTCCACAGTGTCTACACAACGACTGTGACAGCACTGGTCGATGCTTGACAGGATGTAAAACAGGATTTGCAGATAAGTATTGTCAGCATGTCTGCCAGGAAACATGTCAACAGTCCAGATGTGAAGTGGATGCTACAGGTGCCACCTTATGCAGTTTAGGTTGCATAGATGGATACCAAGGTCCAGCGTGTAACATCCCTTGTGCAGATGGGGCTACAAGATGTTATCTAAGTACCAGTAACGATTCAATTGAATGTAAGAGTAATCGGTATGGGAATCGCTGCCAGCATTCGTGTGAACATAAATGTAATGGGTTTGCTTGTGATGATCAAGGGGAGTGCTTGTCGACTTGTACTGATGGCAGATTTGGAGCAAACTGCAGTTTAGCTTGCGGAGAACATCAACAGTCATGCCAACAGGACAGAGGACAGTGTGTGGCATGTAAACATGGCTACTACGGTGATGTCTGCGAGAAGCCATGTCCCAAATGTTTACCTCTCTGGGAAGACAAGGTTCAGAGATGCAAACCCGGATGCACCATATGCACCGGGGAGAATAAAGGTAAGGTAATTGTACATTGAATATCACACATGATAGTTTTAGTGGAATGAGGGTTAGTAATGCAGTATTCTATGAACAATTGTGATTTGCAGTCATGAACAACAAAAATATCTATTTGCTTCCAGGTTGACAGTTCACAGAGTACTTATTTGTATGTTGTAGGCAGCGTCATTTTAAGCCATCAGTTAACATAATCAAACGTGTAAGCCATGACCATTTTCAGTTCGTTCATTAACTATCAGTGTTTCAATTTGACATGGGTGGACATCATAACAGTGTGCCTTCTCACCATAAAATTCATAAAATGAAACAATTAAAAGTGACAAAACCTTTTTCCATAATGATAAAAATTCTGAGCAGAGTCCATTGGAAGATTTCGATCATATCATAAGTATGGGTTTATGAATCACTATCACTCAGTGATTATTCTAGGCATTCGCAAAAAGGTGAGCGTATCCTTCCCCATCGATGCCAACTGTTACAAAATGTTCATATGAAACAAGGCAGGCATACATGAAAATTTGGTACAAGTCAAAAAGGAAATAGCATTGGACATCATTTTTGTCACTGAAGCGTCCAATTTAAACCAGGATACAAAAGCATGCGTGTTGTAGGGATTCGGTATGCTTCTGCTTGTGTTGACTACTGCAACACGGAAAAACATCAAATTTCAATCATTATTTGAACTTTGGAGATGCCTGAAAATGAGCCCTTGAGAGCCATTGGTATGCTCCAGTCAGAAACGTCGCAGCGTGAAATTGCTAGGCGATCCAATTGAACGTGAACAGAAACGCCATTTGGACGTTATGGACGTTTTGGACGTTTGTAAATAAAAGCTACACAACCCTTTCAATATTCATAAAACAACTCTGCCAAAAACAGAGTCGATTGTACGATTCCGTCTATACCACGAGCATGTGTTTATGAATCACCGTCAAATAGGAGTGATATCAGGTGTTCGCGAAAAGGCGAGGGCATCCTGTCCCATCGGTGGCACCCGTCACATACATGCAAAGGCAAGTCAACTGCTTACCTGCAAAAAACAAGGGGGAAAATGGTACAAGTCAAATTGGGGAAATGGATCGGACATCATTTTTGTCACTGATGCGTCAAACTTGATGTGAGAAAGTGGTGTACAAATTTGAGAAATCAAAGGTTTGACATGACTGAACTTTGCAAACATAGAAGTACATTCTTTCTGGGAATATAAAGGAAGTCCTTCCTTGATTCAGGTTCAGTGTCAATCTAATGACAGTACTGATGCGTGGATATCTTCCTCGGTTAACCAATACTAAATTACGTATTACCTTCCCAAATACAACCAAAGAATTACTTTTATATTTGGCCATGTTGTACTATTGACTGTGTTTACATTCCAGAAAAAGCAGGCACACTTACATTTCACTGGGAACTAGAGATGCGAGTAATCGCCACTCTTTTGCTCACCATCTGTGTTGGCTCGTTTGTTCTCCAAATAACGTAAGTCTTATTTTGCATGAATTCCCCACTGCAGTCCCATTCCCATACAAACATATATCAGTAAATATTAATATCCCATTTAAATGTTTAGAAATATATTCCCATTATATTTATAAATGACCTCTTTATCTTCTTGCTTTCTTCTTTTGCCAAGTATCTTTTGACAATTTGGGTCATGTTAAAGATGGATGAAGTTACCTTAATCACACATTACTATAAGCAAAAAACATAAAGTTTTAGAATGAACAACAACATACCAATTAAACAAAACGTTGGTATATAATAAAAAAAAATAGTTATGAAGAAATGTTTGATCCATATTTTTAATGTAACTGTTCCGTCTATTTTTTTCCTCCAGAATATTAGTAACAATAATCAAAGGTGGAACGATCGGCAAATGGTAAATTTACCTTTCCTATGAAATATTTAAGTGTTGAATAGGGCAAGTCGCATTTCGTAGAAGTGTTGGTAGTCGTAGCGGGGGTGGTGGTGGAAGTGGTAGTGGTAGCGGTGGTGGAGGTGGTAATGGAAGCGGTGGTGGAAGTAGTAGCGGTGGTGGAAGTGGTAGTGGCAGCGGTGGTGGAAGTTGGGGTGGTAGCGGTGGTGGAAGCGGTAGTGGTAGCGGTGGTGGAAGTAGTAGCTGTGGTGGAAGTGGTAGTGGTAGCGGTGGTGGAAGTGGTAGTGGTAGCGGTGGTGGAAGTAGAAGTGGTAGCGGTGGTGGAAGTGGTAGTGGTAGCGGTGGTGGAAGTAGTAGCGGTGGTAGAAGTGGTAGTGGTAGCGGTGGTGGAAGTGGTAGTGGTAGCGGTGGTGGAAGTGGTAGTGGTAGCGGGTGTGGAAGTGGTAGTGGTAGCGGTGGTGGAAGTGGTAGTGGTAGCGGTGGTGGAAGTGGTAGCGGTAGCGGTGGTGGAAGTGGTAGTGGTAGCGGTGGTGGAAGTGGTAGTGGTAGCGGTGGTGGAAGTGGTAGAAGTGGTAGTTGTAGTGGTGGTGGAGGTGGTAATGGTAGCGGTGGTGGAAGTGGTAGTGGTAGCGGTGGTGGAAGTGGTAGTGGTAGCGGTGGTGGAAGTGGTAGTGGTAGCGGTGGTGGAAGTAGTAGCGGTGATGGTAGTGGTAGCGGTGGTGGAAGTGGTAGCGGTGGTCGAAGTGGTAGTGGTAGCGGTGGTGGAAGTGGTAGTGGTAATGGTGGTGGAAGTGGTAGTAGTAGCGATGGTGGAAGCGGTAGCGGTGGTGGAAGTGGTAGCGGTGGTGGAAGTGGTAGTGGTAGCGGTGGTGGAAGTTGTAGTGGTAGCGGTGGTGGAAGATGTAGTGGTAGCGGTGGTGGAAGTGGTAGTGGTAGCGGTGGTGGAAGTTGTAGTGGTAGCGGTGGTGGAAGATGTAGTGGTAGTGGTGGTGGAAGTGGTAGTGGTAGCGGTGGTGGAAGTGGAAGTGGTAGTGGTAGCGGTGGTGGAAGTGGTAGTGGTAGTGGTGGTGGAAGTGGTAGTGGTAGCGGTGGTAGAAGTGGTAGTAGTAGCGATGGTGGAAGCGGTAGTGGTAGCGGTGGTGCGAGTAGTAGCACTGGGGGAAGTGGTATGGTAGCAGTGGTGGAAGTGGTAGTGGTAGCGGTGGTAGAAGTTGTAGTGGTAGCGGTGGTGGAAGTAGTAGCACTGGTTGAAGTGGTATGGTACCAGTGGTGGAAGTGGTAGTGGTAGCGGTGGTTGAAGTGGTAGTGGTAGCGGTGGTGGAAGTGGTAGTGGTAGCGGTGGTGGAAGTGGTAGCGGTAGCGGTGGTGGAAGTGGTAGTGGTAGCGGTGGTGGAAGTGGTAGTGGTAGCGGTGATGGAAGTGGTAGCGGTGGTAGAAGTGGTAGTGGTAGCGGTGGTGGAAGTGGTAGTTGTAGCGGTGGTGGTAGTGGTAGCGGTGGTGGAAGTGGTAGTGGTAGCGGTGGTGGTTGTGGAAGTGGATGTGGTCGTGGTAGCGGTGATGGAAGTGGTAGCGGTGGTGGTAGTGGTAGTGGTAGCGGTGGTGGAAGTGGTAGCGGTGGTGGTAGTGGTAGTGGTAGTGTTATCGGTTGTGGAAGTGGTAGTGGTAGCGGTGGTGGAAGTGGTAGTGGTAGCGGTGGTGGTTGTGGAAGTGGATGTGGTCGTGGTAGCGGTGATGGAAGTGGTAGCGGTGGTGGTAGTGGTAGTGGTAGCGGTGATGGAAGTGGTAGCGGTGGTGGTAGTGGTAGTGGTAGTGGTAGTGTTATCGGTTGTGGAAGTGGTAGTGGTAGCGGTGGTGGAAGTGGTAGTGGTAGCGGTGGTGGAAGTAGTAGCGGTAGCGGTGGTGGTTGTGGAAGTGGATGTGGTTGTGGTAGCGGTGGTGGAAGTGGTAGCGGTGGTGGTAGTGGTAGCGGTTGTGGAAGTGGTAGTAGTAGCGATGGTGGAAGCGGTAGTGGTAGCAGTGATTGAAGTGGTAGTGGTGGTGGAAGTGGTAGTGGTAGCGGCAGTGGTAGCGGTGGTAGAAGTGGTAGTGGTAGTGGTGGTGGAAGTGGTAGTGGTAGCGGGTGTGGAAGTGGTAGTGGTAGCGGGTGTGGAAGTGGTAGTGGTAGCGGTGGTGGAAGTGGTAGTGATAGCGGTGGTGGAAGTGGTAGTGGTAGCGATGGTGGAAGTGGTAGTGATTGTGGGAGTTGTAGCGGTGGTGGTAGTGGTAGCGATGGTGGAAGTGGTAGTGATTGTGGGAGTTGTAGCGGTGGTGGTAGTGGTAGCGGGTGTGGAAGTGGTAGTGGTAGCGGTGGTGGAAGTGGTAGTGGTAGCGGTGGTGGTTGTGGAAGTGGATGTGGTCGTAGTAGCGGTGGTGGAAGTGGTAGCGGTGGTGGTAGTGGTAGTGGTAGTGGTAGCGGTTGTGGAAGTGGTAGTTGTAGCGATGGTGGAAGCGGTAGTGGTAGCAGTGGTGGAAGTGGTAGTGGTGGTGGAAGTGGTAGTGGTAGCGGCAGTGGTAGCGGTGGTAGAAGTGGTAGTGGTAGTGGTGGTGGAAGTGGTAGTGGTAGCAGTGGTGGAAGTCATAGTGGTAGCGGTGGTGGAAGTGGTAGTGGTAGCGGTGGTGGAAGTGGTAGTGGTAGCGATGGTGGAAGTGGTAGCGGTTGTGGTAGTGGTAGCGGTGGTGGAAGTGGTAGCGGTGGTGGAAGTGGTAGTGGTAGCGGTGGTGGTTGTGGAAGTGGATGTGGTCGTGGTGGCGGTGGTGGAAGTGGTAGCTATGGTGGTAGTGGTAGCGGTGGTGGTTGTGGAGGTGGATGTGGTCGTGGTAGCGGTGGTGGAAGTGGTGTTATAAAGTGTTTATCTCTAAATCGCCACGATTTGTCAGTAGTCCTACATGCGCTGGTAGATTATTGTTTTCCTCCATTTCTTCCATTTTGTTTGTATGCATTCTTTATTATAACTGGTCACATACTAAATGGATTACAGTTTGCAAACTGGTTTAATGTTTTAACGGTCTTATTTTGAATATGGCCCATACTTCTTATTAATTTACAGCATGAGTTGCAAATATGGTAAGTATAAAGTCATAAAAATTCATTACTTCAACTAAATCATTCAGATGATATAGTATTAGATCATCATCAAATATGAACACCTTTCAGTCAAATATTTGGATATAGCAGACATGTCTGTTACTCATTGTCTCTTGTTATAGTAAAGAGATAGACATTTTATTTATTTTTTGATAGTGTGGGTGTGTTTTGTTTGGGTTCAATGCGAGACATGTTTATTAATGTTGTAGAGACAAATATTACACATTGTTTGATGTCATGTCATGAGACAATTTATGATGACAAATGCTTCGATGACAACCAAAACACCTTGTTAGAAACATGTTTTGGGCACACACTAGAGTTTGGCACACTCACATTTGTTATGTTATACATGTGTACAGTGGACTTGTTGCTTTCTCACCACATATAGCTATAACTATTCATCCAAAATATTATATGCAGCTCTGTCTACTTCTTTACAATATACATTAAGGGTCGGAGTTTTTCGTACGAGCCGAATTGATATTTTATATAATGATAATTTGTTTTATTCAACTCTTTTACGGTGACACAATAATAAGTGGTGAAATTGACCATTGGCGGTGACTACTTCGAGGTACTAAAGTCATTCCATCTTTGTTCATTAATTTAAATATATTATCAGTCATTAATAACTCTCTAAAATAAAGACAATTCAGACCTTGTTTCCTTCATATATGTTATGTTTCTAGATGGTTTCTGTTGAGTGCATATTATTATTAACAGTGCATCTTTGTTTTGCCTTAGTTAATACATTAAATAGGTCATTGCAAATCTCTTATAAGCAGTCCGTTATAATAGTTATAACAGATGTGAGAGACCGTCATCGGAAGTTTAAAAGTGAAGGTAAACAAGTTCGGATGATTTCTCTTACTTATCTACTGATTTAGGTATTACCTCATACTCAAACTTGAGGCACTTTCAGTTATCAATCAGTTCCCAGTGATGACTGCACTCTATTAAATGAATAACTAGTCCTCAGTTAGTTTAAGCGTGCTCGTGAATATTGTATTTTCAGATAAACTTGCTGAAGATGAGTTGTCTGACGTTAGAGAAAGCCTGAGAAAAATTCTTTGGGCTCTCAACCAAGATGGTAATAAAGTTCAGATGAATTTCAATCTTTTGTTGCAATCATTTTCAGAAAGATATTATATGTGAATACTGCGATAAATATATGTATGGTTTTTTTGGGGAGTATTTAACAAATGAAGACGACTAAAAACACTCTGTCAGATGCGAGACTTCACGCTGTCTAACTGTTTGATATGAGGACACACATATGTTAGAGTTAAGATTGATATTTATATGGCTGTTAAGGTTATGCATAAAATCATCAACGGGATACGATGTCCAGAATGTGTGAAGCGATCCTGAAATCTATTACGAAAAAAGATAGCTTGAAAGTTTAACCGATTAATAAGCTGAAAGTATGTGGGTAGCTTCTCATCTTATATTGACACAGTTTTGCGAGATTTTGCCCGAAACCAGAACATGCAAAAATATAGGTCATAGGTTGTTCAGGCCATTGCTCAATCTACACCACCTCTCTGTGAGCTTGAGATAAGCCCTTAACGAAATAATCTATAACCAATGCAAATTTACTTCCATGCCCAACTTATCATTGAATTATTTTAATATTTTAACTTCCTTTGCAGATCAACAACAAGAACCACCTACCACCTCGCAGAATGTGGAAGCTGCCTCATAATGGAAACGGTTACCTACTCCACTTGAAAAAATGTTTCAAGGGTTTTTGAAGTTATCTTATGTTTATTGCCATTCAGCTTGTTTTGTTTTCCCCACATAGTTTTATTAGTGCTCTCTAAGTTCATAATTTAATTTTATTCACTAATTGTATACTATTGTTTTTAAATGTTGCATTAGTCATGGGGAAGTTCTGATTTTGACCATCGTCAATTCTGTTGGAATGTTGGAATGTAGACATGTGTATCTCATTCTCTGCGGAAACTGTGATTTTACTGCCTTACTATTTTACTATTTTATGTAAACGGGCGATAAATGTAAGAAATCACAACATAAATATGGTATGCGCCTGTGTTCATTATCTCAAAACACACAATTCAACGACGTTTTATCCAAAACTTGAGAAATACCACAATTCTATAGACGTTCGCAATGGCAGCATTGTAGAAAAGTGACGTCACATTGTAACGCAAGTATCCTCTGGCGTCACATGTTCAGAACGTTTTGGCCTTGCACTCAAGCACATCCTTTCTGTACAAACATTTCGGTAATTTCGTCGCATTGTTGAAATGAGGGGAATTGAAATATGTTTATGTAAGAATGTGATCCGAAACAAGTGATTTTTTTTATTGTATTTCGCCTTTTGTAGACAAAATATAAATTGTCATTTTTGGTTATCTTTAATTAAAAATATTGTTACAAATGAATTGTATAGTTAATAATTTTATGTTGTTCACTTATTGTACGCTATGGTTTGCACTGTTTCGTTTACTGATTATGATTTCCACGATTTGGCATCATTAATTCTGCTGCAAAGTTAATTTCACCATTCCCTGCGATTACAGTGGTGTGTTTATAAGGGGAAAGGAAGATAGTAACAGTGCAGAGCAACTGCTAATCTGTTACTTCTGCTGCATATTGAACACGAACATTCTGAATTAAACTTTCAGAATCAAAGGTATGATGTTCAATGACTTGAGCGACATTGTGAAATGTCGACTAAGATGAATTATCATATTGATTAAACATTATTGTAAGCTTTGAATTATTACGTCTTTCATCGAATATTCACAATGCCTCACAAGCTCGTGATTTGGTAAAACACCAACCTTATGGTGATTATGTTCAGTGTAGGCAAATTTATATTTTACCAAACATAGAATAGAACTGCAGTATTCTTTAACATTTTGGTGTTTATATTTCTTTATAATCAGAATGAGTTTATATGTGGCTCTCTATATCTTAAGCCGATGACCAGCTATAGTTTGTTTTGCTTTCAGGCAGTTAATTTTTCGTTTGCTGGTAGTAAGCTACTTTATTAATGACGACATACACACGCCAACAAAATAACACAATGTATCATTTCGGAGATATTACGGCCAAATGCAACTGTTTCAAATAAGGGAAAAGACCAAAAGCCGCAAAGGTCCAGAACCTAGAAACTGAAATGGATCCCGCTAGTGTCCCCGCTATACTGATTCGCACTTTATATTTCTATAGGTGCCAAAACTTGTAAAATACCTCGACCTGTTAGACGTTGATTTTCGGTATTAGAGTCCATTTTTTATAATTATATCAGCTCAGTTAGGAACAGGTCATTTATTACAGAGGATGAAGGATCGGTCAGAGTGTTTTGGTCTACTAATGTATTGAAAATAATGACCCTCCCTAATTCTTGTCATATTTTTGGATGAACCTCACCATGCCCTTGAACATTTTGTTCACTATCCTACCTTTATGTGTGTATTATTTTATTGCTTTAACCCTTTCTTAGAGGGTCATATTATTTTTAACCAAACTTAGAACAGAACTGTATTATTGTATTTCATTTTGTTGTTTATATCTCTGTGCAACCAGAATTGAGTTTTGTGGCTCTCTTGTTTGTTTCGTTTTCACGCAGTTAATTATTCGTTTTTTACTTGTAAGTTATTTTATTGATCAAAGAGCTTTATTTTTCACTCATATCCTAGAGAAGATTAGTTCATAGTTTTATGCTGACCTTAATGTGAATTAAAATAGGATCGTTTTCGGGAGAGGCAAATAAACTGCCGAACAATATGAAACAAACAAGACATGGTTATTCGATAGTGATTAATTAACAGGGGTATTATAGTTGTGTTTTAGACCTTGAGTTGGCAGTGTTTTGGCGACTGTTTTCTGCCAAGTAAAGTTTGATAACGTTTGAAATTTTTAGACCAAATCCAATGTTTAAGTGTATACTTTATTTTGCCCAGTTTGTATTTCTATGGGGTAGTTGTGGTTCGAGGCCTTGTTCCAATATTTGTTGTAGTTCGCTTTTCTACATGAATAAAGAGATCTGGTATCTCATCTTTTGTGTGTTTTTGGTTTATCGGTAACCACACAACTTGGGAAGGAATCATAATATGTTCCTCTCTTGGTGATTTCATTTGGCTGAGGGAAAGCGTCCACTTCAGCACTGCTGCCTGCCGCCTCCGTATGTCTCCGTATGAATGATGAACAAAACAAATCCACTACACCTCTGCACCTACGAGGAGCGTTCAATACGTTTTGCAACTTCAATATAAGACCAAGTCACAGAATATCTTTTGAACTTTCATTTTTTAATATAATCTCCATTGACCTCAATACACTTATTCTATTTGTCCTTCAATCTTTTATAGAAATCCGCGGATTGGCCCTCTAACCACGCCTCTGTGGCAGCCTTTATGTCCTCGTCATCCTGGAAACGTCTTCCACGTAGGGCAGATTTCATTTGCCGGAACAGGAAATAGGCACTGGGGGCTAAGTCTGGGATGCAGGGTGGGTGATTTAACTGTTCGAATCCACATTCACATATGGCGGCCTGTGCCGTTCTCGACTTGTGAACCGGAGCATGTAAGGAACTTGATTACAGCGCGTTGTTCATGTTTGAGGGAATCCATGATTGTGACCACCCTTAGGTTAATGAAGCCATCCCATCTTATTGTTGTGTCTGGAACTTGTTATGACACGTGTCAACCTGATCATATGACTAGTGTAACACCTGCAACAAGTTGACATTGTTTGTGTAAACACAAATGTCCAAGTTGCAAAACTTATTGAACGCCCCTCGTAACTTGTTGTCGTAGTCTCAATCTCATTAAAATCATAGCGTCGCTTACCAGATCATGAAAGTGACAGACGGAATGTGTTTCCATGCAATCTCGAAATATTTAACAGAGGGTATTCCGAACGACAAGTATGGGTTTTATGATTATATCAATACAATCTAGGCCATATGTAAGAAATTATAGAATGACCATTTTATCAGTTTTACGACTTTAATCGAGAATTAAAAGGTCGTTCTGACGTGACCCGTAATGAGTGTCCTCAGATCTTTGTTCAGCGGTAGCGAAAACTAAGATCTGATTTTAATGAGATTGTCGTAGTCTTTGTCTGCTTATCCATTATAAAGAGAACGCGTGTCTTATTATTGTGTCGTCATCTTTCAAATAAATGTATATGAGGGACTGATGTACTCAAAACACATCCTCTGTATTAATGTAAACGTATGTGGACAGTTTTCCTCGCAAATACGTCCGTGGTGAATGTGTGTCATCGTTATGTTTGAAATAGGCCATGTCAAATATAACACTGGTAAATCACAGGATTTGAAAGTCCTAGGGTCGAGTCCCAGATTCACCCGATATTTATACACTACGTACGTGCAACTATAATTGATCCTCAGTAACTCAATTTCGCCATGGTGCTGCCAGTTGTGTAAAGCACCGCAATTAGCTGTGCAGAGTTGCGTCCCTTAGTACTGCCTGGATTAAAATATCGTGGGTTTGAATCAACCGTGAAGATCTGGTCTTCAGCAGCCCGTGCTTCTCATAAGAGGCAACTAAATGGATCTTGTGGTCAGGCTCACTGTCATCGTATCGCAACTGCCTAGATCGATGCTCATAATGTCACTACATTGTCTGGTACAGACTTGATTATCTACAGACCGCCACCATATAGCTCGAATTGTACTGAGTGCAGCGTTAAACAGCTAACAAAGACACCTGAGGAGTATTAAACTTCAACCAAACAAACCAAAGAATAATAGTGAAACAATTGGTCTGTACTGATGTCCCATATGCCAGTGTCTTTGATTTAATACTCATATTGGTAGGCACCAGAAACAAAATCCAATGTACTTATATAACCCACTCACAAAAGAAAAAAATTGTAAAGTGGTATTTTTAGTTTTAGTTTATTTATTATTACATGACCAGAGTATGTTCCAGCCAACAATTATCTTTCATTCCAACTGCATAATGACAGGCCTGTGTACAATATAAAGAAAATCAACAAACACCTAAAACAATTCTTAACATAGTGCTGACAAGCCTCAAGAAATATGAATACTCTTTGTTTCAAGAAGCTCTCAAGTTAACACTGCCTCAGACTGTATGTATGGGAGAAATGACAAAGCAAATAAATCTGGACTGGTAACTACGGTATCATAAACAGACATCAAAAGCAAAATCGTTTCAGTTTTTAATCAGCTTCCTAACATGCCTAAGTTAAACATCAAAAACCTGATAAAAAAATATCAAAAGTTCTGATCAAAATAATGAAGTTCTATGTCTTTCCTTCTATAAGACACCCCTACCTACGCATAAAAACACGTTAGTTCCTGTATAGATATGGCATACAGTTTCATTATTTCAGGGTTGTCTTAGGTCATAGTATCGTATTCACTGTGCCCAAGTGCCCAAGGCTCATTGAAAATTTACAAAGGATGGGGCACTTATTGAAACCATACACAACCAGTTAAATTTGTTTTCGGAGACTGTGCAGCAGTGATCAAACGTTGATGGAAGTAAAACACTTTGGAGGCAATTATATACCAGTTCTACGCTCCTTCTTCTGTAAAAAGATGTGTAATGTACAGAAGAAAATATTAACTGCCATGTAAATATTCGGGGCAATTTTAAGGGTTACTTATTGGTCTAGAGTTGGTCAGGGGGTGCTCGTTGGAGCATCGCGCTTAATATGGCAAATAAAATGTCAGTATACCAATTAAAATCACAAAAAAATAAAACACGCCCTTATGAAAAGCAAACATTTGATTTGCATTCATAACACCTCAAAAAGAACTCCTTAATCAAATCAGTATTTAGAACATTTATGTGTCATCTGATGAATTCCAGTGACTGAGTCTTACACCGCAGCCAGCAATATTACAGCTATATCATGGTAACATTTAAATAACTATCAATGGTTAATGTACACACCAGAAGCCAGCTCATACATTTTAACCCACCAATCCACATTCAAACTGGTTCAATTAGGCAGAAGGTGAGCACTCATGTGCCATTAATTCCATCAAAGACACCAGGCTCTGCATAAACATAAAGTGTCATTATCGAACTAAGCAAATGACGTCATATCTCCTTAATGAGATTCTCCTAATGACAGTATTAATTCACTAATACTCTTTACATATATTAAGCATATATTAATTCATGCACTTGCATAAATTCTTTTTAAACATGAACAAAAAATATAATATTCAATAGCAGTACAAGTGAAATTGGTTTAACGTTGCTTTCAAGATTATTTCACTTATATAGCAATGTGTATGCGCATGTGTGTGGCTGCTTGTACAAGTCTGGTTTTATGATACTAACCCACGTAAATACCATGTTGCAGTTAAACAGGCATACCCCACTCAGTCACATTCCACTTACTCCAAGCGGACCAGCACTTGTTTTATCACCACAATGACCAGCACCAGGCAGGGTAACAGCAAGTACCATCTTTTAACGTCTTTTGGTATGACGGGCATCAAACCATCAACAACCCGCTCTCCGGGCAGACCTGCTCTCACCACTACTGTACACCACTGAGGCGGCCTCCAGGAGATGTTTACTTAGTACATGTATTACATATACACAACAACATTGAATGCATATTTTCATAAATACTTTAATGGTCTTGACAGACTTTGAATACCCACGACAAATCGAAGCCTCTTTGTGACTAGAATTATTAATAAATGCCAAATGTTTGCACAAACCCATAGCGTGTGTGATCAGCACACTAATATTTTCATCCCAATTCGATATGAATCATAAACTTAATGCTGCAAATAAACATATCATATCCATAATCAAAATCTACAGTTGCACCTCTGTACAAGAACCCTTAAGTTTTGTTATATCAGTCAGGCAGACAATAATAACATATATACACATGTACACCGAGTGCACATTTACCTCATTTTTGTGTGTGTATATATGCAAATGCGTATATATCTATATATACACACACACATATATATATATATAGATGTAGATAGATATATAGATATAGATATATATGCATACATATATATTCAAAGGTGTATATATCATTTATATATATATATATATATATATATATATATATATATATATATATATATATATATATATATCTGCCTGACATATATATATGAATGGATGAATCAAAACAAAACATTTTGAAACTCACATGAGAGCATGATTCAATCGGATTGTAAAACTTCTACCCATGGTGTTTATAACTTGACTGGCAGTAGAACAAAACCAAAAACAATGTGAAAACATGTCCCCCTCTGTTACACCACTGTGGAGCATACACTGAAAGTTAGGGATTTCCCCGCTCTGTAAATATCATCTTCATCTGATTAACACAATAAGATTGCCTTTTTAACCATAAAATATTCCCATCCATATTAACTGCAGGAATGAAATGTTACCTCTCAAAATTCAGTCAACAAAGTCCAAACTCCAAACTCACCTCAAGAAAGACAGAAATAGTTGTCTACAAAAACTACATTCATGGGAATTGTGCTTGTTTCATTTTGAAAAAAAACAAGAGTAGCCAGGAATCAGTCAATCTCTCACAGATTGGTGACACCAGCACACAGGGCATGCAAAGGCATTTAATGTGCACTTCACTGACTTTGTCCAAGTACTTGGAAAAACTGACAGGTTCACTGGTAGTTCTTGAGTTGAACATGTTAAACCTGGCGAATTGATTTAGTTGTAAGTTTGGTCAAAAGCACCCAAATGAATCACACGCTCAGAGATATTTCATATGAATGGTTTTGCCGTTTCTCTCAACTGAGAAATATGAAACCATAAAGAATGAGACATCAAATATGCACAAAAATAAATGTCTCAACAAAATATTGCTGCATCAGTATGATCACATTGCTTCTGATGAAGCAGAATATAAGCAAAGTTCCAACATCAACCATTACCGAGGGCAGTGTCACAAAGAGATGATCTTTATGCAGATCTACCAGACACACAACACATATGCAGGCTTCAACACAACCAGTGACATAAAACAATCTGTCCAACAGAATA